AGGAGACAGAGCCACAGCAGGAGTGGACCATGGTGTTGGTTAGTTCTGGTTTGGGTTGGGTAAGACAGAAGAGTTAGTTTTTCAGGTCTGGATGCTCTATCTTGTTCTGGACCCTTTATATACCTGACCAGGTGTTGTCAGTCCCCCAGAATCCAGGACCTTTTCCTTGTTTTTGATTATGTCTCCTGAAAAGAAAGCACCGGATTGGTTAGATAATTGTGAGGCTGTCATTGAAGCATTCCCAAACTTATTACAAAACAAAAACAAAAAACCCCATTATTTCCTCACTGAAATTAAATTCTCTCCTTTGCCCATTTACCCTGGAGTCATAATTTTATGCTCTGACTTCAAAGTGTTCCTTAATTGCCACCCAAACATTAATCAGCATTATTCATATCTAATAGTCTAGTTGCATGTCTTTAGTCTAGGAAAGACCTAGGGTCATATGTCTCCTAGTAGGTCATTTACTTGGACTTATTTTCAAAGCAAGCATCATTTGGAATATCCTTTCACCTTTGATGTCTATTTCATCTAGATACCACAACATGAACTTTCTTCTACAGTGAAATAGTTGTAGTTCTTTTCTCTAGACACTTCCTGAATTCCTGAGTTGTTTTTAATTGTAGACTTCTGCCTGACTGGAATAATCTGCCCTCCAAGGCTATGGAAATCCTCCCTCTCCTCTAAAGTCCACCTCCGATCCTGTTTCCTCTGTACAGACTTGCTTGCTCACCTCAGTCTCATTTGGTCTTATTCTTCTGGACTCATGTCCATGTATATACAGTTTATATGCGTTATTTACTGCCTTTTTGCACCTCTTTCGTTATTTTCCTGAACTATTACATAAACTTCTCATTTATTTTTCTTGAGGGGATGTGATAGTGTTCCCTTTAACAATGGAGGGACAGCTTATCTTGGAGTCAGCAAGACTTGGGTTCAAGTTTCACCTCTAACATATATTGGCTGTGGTAGAGTGGGTAAGCCACTTAATCTCTCAATGTCCCAGATAACTCCCCAAGGCTAACAGTTGCAAAGCAGATACCCATCTACCTTGGTAGAGAGAGTTTCCTAATTGGAAATTCCTTATAACCAATGAAATTATAGATGTAGTAAAAATGTTATTTAAACTTTTTCGTGAACTTATGGCTAACATCTTCAACAAATGATGGATTGCTAACCTATCTAGAGGAGACAAAAAGAAGGGGAGAAAGGAAGTGTGTATCAATCCATCAACAGTTGGCGAGACTTCGAGGAAAGCTCTGATGGCAGAAAGTAAAGAATTAAGAATCCTCTCGATGAGGGTAAAAGAGGAGAGTGTAAAAGCTGGCTTTCAGCTTAACATAAAAAAACAACTAAGATCTTGGCAACTGGTCTCATCACTTCGTGGGAAATAGAAAAAGAAGAAATGGAAGTAGTGTCAGATTTCATATTCTTGGGATGAAAGATCACTGTGGATGACAACTGTAGCCGTGAAATTAAAGGATGTTTGTTCTTTGGAAGGAAAGTTATGGCAAATCTGGACAGCATGGTAAAAAGCATAGATATCACCTTGCTGACAAAGGACCACATGGTCAAAGTTTATGGTTTTTCCGGTAGCAATGTATTGTATGAAAGCTGGACTATAAGAAAAGCTTACAACTGCAGAAATCAATGCTTTTGAATTGTGGTTCTGGAAAAGACTTTTAAGAGTCCTTTGGACAGCAAGAGATCAAATCAGTCAAATCTTAAAGAAATTCATTCGGCTATTTACTAGAAGGCCAAACACTGAAGCTGAAGCTTAAATATGTTGGTCACATTATTAGAAGACAGGACTTACTGGAAAAGATTCTGATGTTGGGGAATATTGAAGTGTAAAGGAAAAGGGGATGGCGGAGGATGTCAGGGAAACAATGAGCATGAACTTGGACAGACTTTGAGAGATAGTGGAGGACAGAAAGGCCTGATATGTTATGGTCCATGGGGCCACAAAGAGTCAGACATGACTAAATGACTGAACCACAACAAGAGGAAGGCACCTAATAATTTAGGTAGATTCTCTGTGGAAGATTTATGTGAGGATAAGACGAAAAGTCACAGGATATAAAAAGGGTCAGAACTGGGATTTATAATCTGTATGTTTAGAAGGAGTATACATATTGATGCTATCACAAATTCATTAACATATTGAAGTATTTTCCCAACTAGGTTTAAGCTTCTGGAGGGCAGAGATTTTAGTCTGAAACCTAGTACATAGGAAGCACTCAACACTTGTTTGTTGATTTGATTTCATGCTATAAGAGGAGTTAGGAGTTCTAGACATACATAATATTGGTGGTATAGTTGGGTTAGTTCAGTCTGTTCCACCCAGAGGTTGAGAGGCATATAGTTAAAGAAAGCTAAATTGACTGATGCATATCCATGAGTATAATTGCAACTCTAAAGAAATCAGTCTTTTTGTATCATTGTATCAGACTGGTGTATTAAAATATAGCTGGGCTATATTTTAGCACTACAGATAAGTGAGGGAATCATTCTTCACATTGCAGAAGGATTCACAATAGGGCTTTCAACTGATACAGTAACCATATTTCAAAGTACTAAAATTCAGTTGATATACATCCTCTTAAGAACACAGCTATTGTATAAAAGGAGAAGCAGATGTATAGAAAGTCATCAAGAGGATTGTATGTATTTCTATTAGCTTCTATTGGTCTGATATATCAGATAGTATTTCATAACATATCCTCTCCTTATATTGTGTTATATAGACATCCGAACCTTTACTTGAAGACCTTCAACGATGAGGTCACCCATTCCCTAGACACACTTAAATGTTTGAAACAAATTCCACTGGGTATCAACACCAATCCTAAGAAGCTAGCTAGTGCTTTGATTAAGATGAAAAAAAATTGGAAATTCCGTTTTATTTCTTATAGTAACTATACATTATGATTTCCTTTGTTAATTAGACGAAGAATGGAACCAAGAAATAAGCATCTGTAACAGTTCTTTATTGCTGTCAGATGGATCTATTGGACTGGAAATCCTTGCTATGTATACAGCATAGTCTAATAAATGTTTTATGATGAGTCAAATCTGTTCTTACCTTTATTAAAAGGGGAAAATTGATCTCCTATGTCAGTTGATACTTTACTCAAAATTCTGGTGTTTCATAGTCTTAATGATCAAATTCACTGAATATATAAAGGGCTATTTTGACTTTTTTGTTGTTAATTTGTTTCAGTCACATCCAACTCTTCATGACCCTATTTGGGGTTTTCTTGGCAAAGATACTGGAACGGTTTGCCATTTGCTTCTCCAGCTCATTTTGCAAAAGAGGAAACCAGGGCAAATAAAGTTAAATTGTTTCCCTAGGGTCACAGAGCTAGTAAGTGTCTGAGGCCACATTTGAACTGAGTTCTTCCAGACTCCAGGTCCAATGTTCTCTCCATTGCAGCATCTAGCTGGTCATGTGACTACTGGTCATGTGACTCTGAGTAAATTATTTAACTGCTCAGTGATCTAGGTTACCATAAGTTACAGACATGGTGTTGACATGCATTAGTATAGGAAGTTTCTTTACCTGGTTCTTCTCTACATAAATGAAATTATGTCTTGTCCATATCTTATGCTGAGTAGCTACACCCACTCAAAAACATGATGTAATGGAAAAATCATTTTCACTATGGAGCCTGAAGACCAGAGTTAAAGTTCTGCCTTTGACAATATATAGATGTGTGACCTTATCTGTCACTTCTCTGCTCCAATCCTCAGTTTCCTCATCTATAAAATAGGGATGCAATACCAACTTTACAGGTTGCTGTGAGAACTTCATGAACTAAGTCAGCAGTGTGGTGTAGCAGAGAGAGCATTTCATTTCAATTTGGAGAACCTGTATTCAAATCTCATTTCTGCTACTTACTTCCTGTGGGTTCCCTATGATTCACTTTACCTCTCTATTCCTCAGTTTTCCCATCTTTACAATGAAGGGGTCAGATTGATGTTTCTAAAGGTTTAATAGGACTCTATCTATGATGATAATGTGAGCGTGTAAATCACTTTACAACAAAAAAGGGTTATATAAATGGTTTATTATTATTGTTACTATAACTCTATAATAATAGTTAATATTTATGTAGCATTTTAAAGTTTGCAAAATTTATTGTGTATATTATCTTATTTGATTCCCACAATGACCCTGTGTGTCAGGTGTTATTGTTATTCTATGATCCCCTATAACACTGCATATACTGGTCTGACTTAAAGTACCTGCATAGAAATGAAAATAGCACAAAAATTATTGGTGAAAATACACAATGGGGGCAGCTAGGTGGTGCAGTGGATAGAGCTCTGGCTTTGGAGTCAGGAGGTCCTGAGTTCAAAGCTGCCCTGAGACCAGATATTTGACACTTACTAGCTGTGTGACCCTGGGGAAGTCACTTAACCCTGATTGCCTCATCCCCCCAAACACACACACACACACACACACACACACACACACACACACACAATGGAATGATGAGCTATGTCAATGATTTGCATTATTAGAAAAATGGAGCTTTATTGAGACACATACAAACAATAGAACATGAGGAAATGATGAAAAGAAATGTGGGATGGAAACATCATTGCTTTAAGTTCTAGATTCATCAGGGTCACTTTGGATGTTTCTACAACAAAGCTTTGAGGTAGCAAGGGTTCTTCCACAAGAGTTGAACTCAATGATCCCTCAGGTTCTTTTTTAGATGGAAAACTCTATGTTTTCCTCTATCCAATGGTTTCTGAATGCTGCATGAAGACATGGAGGTTTATTTTGTTAATTGGCAGATTCAGGGTTAATGGACAGCTTGTGTGGAAGACAAGAGAAATAAAAAGACTGGACCACATGGACAGTAAACATTAGTCTTCCGTGACACGTCTTATAGTTGATTGGCATTAATGAGCATAATTTCACTGATTCATAACAGGAAGGGGAGTGATGAGCTTGTTTTTATGCTTTGAATGCAAACAAGTCCAGATTCTCAGCAGCAAGAGGATCTGCAGCAGGTGGTCTGGCAGCAGGTGGGACGGCAGCAGGGCCGGCAGCGGCTAGAAGTACAGCAGCTGGGGAGGCAGCAGCTGGACACACAGCAGCTGCGGCGGCAGCAGGGCTGACAGCAGCTAGAAATACAGCAGCTGGGGCGGCAGCAGCTGGACACACCGCAGCTGGGGCGGCAGCAGGGCTGACAGCAGCTAGAAATACAGCATCTGGGGCGGCAGCAGCTGGACCCACAGCAGCTGGGGCGGCAGCAACTGGACCCACAGCAGCTGCGGCGGCAGCAAGTTGTGCGGCAACAGGTGGTTTGGCAGCACGAAGGGCGGTAGCAGGTTGGTTGGCAGCACACAGACTGGCAACAACTTGGTCTACAGCAGGTTGGGCGGCAGCACGGCTGGCAACAGCTAGTAATACAGCAGCTGGGGCGGCAGCAGGACTGGCAGCAGCTGGGGCGGCAGCAGCGGGAGCCACAGCTCTGGCCAGAGCAGGTGGAGCCACAGCAGGAACTGACCATGGTGTTGTTGGGTTGAGCTTCTGGGTTTCTTTCAAGAGGTGAGTGAGGTACTTGAATTCTGAAAGACTTGCCATGGAGGCTTCTTATATATTCCCTTTCATGGCTGCTGTCACTTGGTCCAGATAATTTGTTTTTGTTTACCTCGATGAAATAGTGATTATCAAATTAGAAAATTTGTTTTTCTGATGAAAGGAATGTTTTTTTTTCTCCCTGATCACTTGGAATTAGTCCTTTTGTTTTCCCTCCAAAATGACCTTCTATGTATCATCTTTTCTTATGGAATCTTTACCACTATTTCCTCTTTTCTTTCTGTCTTTGCCATCAGGGCAATCATGTGGCAAACTAACACTAAACTTTTCCTACTTCACTGTCCTGCTTTGTGAGCTTTATCCCATGATTTCTGCCCAAACAACACACAGTCAATTAGATGACTTCTGAGGCCCCATTCACCTCTGGGGTTTTGCAGCTTGTATTAAGATTAGTTTCCTATGGTTTTAGGGAAGGGGCCAAGAAAATCCAGCTCATGTTCTGTGCTTGCCCTCTTATTTAATTTCATTCATATTTGGAGAGTTTTCTAAAGTATCAACCTTGGATATTTGGCTAACTTTACTTCTTAAACCAAATTATTTATTTTTTGCTAACCAAATCCAGTTTGAACAGTGATGCCATAGCAGACCCGTTGTTTTAAAACATTGTGAATTTTTCGTTTTTTTTTTTTTTAAAGAAATTGTTTGGTCTAGGAGAAATGTGAAATTTCTATTACATAACCAAGCCATCTTTAAGTCTCCCCTCTCCATCACTCCACATATTGTCAGCAGTTGCAGAATCTTCTTGAATTTACCTCCACAACATCTCTTGTATCAGTCACCTTTTCTTTATTCATACAACCACCACTCTAATTCAGGTCGCCATCACCTATCACTTGAACTGTTGGGATGGCCTCCTTCATTTGCTTCTTGCACTTCAAATCTTACCCTTAGTCAATCAACCCTCCACATAGACACTCTTCATGAACAGAAACCACAGATAGCTCAGCAATCAGATTTGGATAAGTTATATGAAACAGAAAGAGAAGCTAGGTGATATAATGGACAGAGTGCTGAGCCTGGAGTCATAAAAACTCATCTTCTTGAATTCAAATCTGGTTTCAGACATTTACTAGTTGTGTGACACTAGGCAAGTCACTTAACTCTGTTTACCTCAGTTTCTTCTAAATCCAGGATCTAATAATCTTAAGGGTTTTTTTTAGGACAAAATACTAACTCTCCTGCTCAGAATTTTATACGCTTCACAGTCAGGATCACACCTATCTTTTTAGATTTTCATATTTGCCTCTAATACCTCCTATGTTGTAGCCAATCTGACCTACCAGCTTATCCCCAAATTCAGTTTCTCACCTCTGATTTCTGTGTCTTTGCTCATTTGAGCCTAAAATGCACTCACTTCTCCTCCGTACATATTAAGAACCCTTATATCTTTCAAGGCTTAGTTGAGGTGAAATCTCCCACACAACACCTTTCATGATCTCCCCAGTTATATGTGGTCTCTTGCTTCTGAACTGTCTTTGTATTTACTTTGCATTGGCTCATTGTTGTGCATGTTGTATTTTCTCTCAGTACCTGTATCCCCCACAAATTTAAGATTTTCTCTTGTTCAGAGAGAGTAAGACCAAAGGTATAATATTTCCCCATGACACATCAGTTTCTTTCTGATGGGGTCTATTTTTGTTTTTACCTTTGTATTCTTAGCAGTGATATAATGTTATGCACATAGTAGGAGCTTAACAAATAAATGTAATTGATTTAAATTTATTTAAATCCAAGTCAACATCCTCAGATAATCAGCAGAAGTCAGAGTTCTAGTTATAAGACACAGGCCTGAACTACCGCAAATGTCTCATCATCTCTATGCTTTATAGCACTATCTGAGAGAAAAGAATAAACACTAAGCACAATGTTAGAGCGACTTAATTATTGGAATTTTTAAAAGTATGACTTGGGAGATGAAACTGATGGGATCATTCATGGGAGCCAGGCTAATTGGAACCAAATGAACAGATAGAGAACTCGATGATAGCACTGGCATTTGGTAAGCAGGAGATCTATAGGCACATGGAATATTGGAGGGGAAAATGGCTTCATGTGGCTTCAGACTGTACTCAGGAACTGAGGTCTGGGACATATTGGCTGATGAGCAGGTAAGAGAGTAAAATAAAGAGTGAAAATCTGTAGTTGTGTGACAAAGAGGTTCAAATTTGTGTCTGTTATTCAGTGAGAGGCTTACTGAGTTGGCCCTATAAGTAGTCTTAGGTGAAAAGAAGTTGTCAAGAATCAGGGACATGGTGGAGAAAGCATACTGGCCTTTCTTTTTCCATTTCTCTCCCTTCACCCTGTTTTGCTATTTTTGTTATTTTTCTTTCACAGATGTTTAAAGTATTAAAATTAGTATCAAACTCTATATAATCATTGACTCATGCTAGAAGTCCAAATCAGAGTTCAAATCCTGACAGCACTCCTTGATAGATTTGTGACCTTGGACAATGATGCCCTCACTTTTTTTTTTACAAAAAAAGTTATGCCTTTCTCTACAAATTTCATAAAACAATCTACATTAAAAATTAATTATACATTTTATTAATATAAATTAGAAATTCATTACAATTTTACAATTATGTAATGACACGAAGAAACCTTAAATGTATATTAAATATAATGAAATACTCAAACAGTTCTTGCTATTTTGGAATTTTTATATGTATAACTTTAAAAATAAGAACCATCATTAAAATGATTAATATTGTGTTGTCTGAGCTAAATTAGGAAACATCAAAAATATCTTACTATAAATTTATTGTCCATAACTCCAACTTTTTCATAACTACAATCAGCTTATCTTTCAGATTTAGAGTATGAATTTTAGAAAGGTGAATTAACTTGTTTAATCAGCTTTTTAAGAAAAATCCACCAAACACATGTTTAAAGAGAAAATGTTTATTATAAAATTATATTTATAACAATGTGGAATATATTTAGTATTCGGTTATATACACACACATTATTAAGTATCACTATGAAAAAATGGCAATTTCTTCTTTTAGGTTAAATATCTCTTAAAGATCTTTGTCAGAAAAAGTATGTTCCATAGTAATAAAGAAGTATTCTATGTCATTCTCCACATCATTCCACAATTTTACGAAGATCTTTCCTTTCAATAGACTTTTTCTTTTTAATTAAAAGCGTTATTCATAAAACAAAACTCTTTATAACTTTTCACTCATATTTCTCCATATAAGTGGTCATTACTATGAAGCATGAAATGTGTCCAAATTACATTAGGAGTCACATTTAAAAGAAAAAAAAACTAGAACTTGTAGACTTCCATTTTGTCTTGATGTTAACTGAGCTTTCTCAACACAGAGTTCAATAATGCTCTTGTGTTGTATAAACTTCAATTATCAATTATATTGAAATTTTATCTTGAAGTGTCAATGCCAACTTAAGCCTATGTCTCATTCTAACATAATTTGCACTTTGTAAAGGGTGTGTCCTTTTCCAATTTCAATGGAACATTTTGCTACTTCTGAAGGATGAAAAAATTTGAAAATGTTCATTCACACCATGTAAAAGATATGAGGCTATGAGTAAGAAAAGGCTAGGAAATCAGCTAAGTAGTCAACAGAGAGACAGGAGCACAAGTGATCTCTGTACCTTTTTCCACCCCAACTTTTGCATGGACTAACAAGGCCAAAGGATCCCACATTATCAAAATCCAGATACATAATTAGTCCTTGGTTTTTACTTTTTCATTTAACTTATCTTTTCAATTAAAAATGTCTTTTTCCCTTCTTTCAACCCACCTACCACTGGAAAACCAAAAACCAAAACCAAAACCCTTATAAGAAATATACATAGTCAAGCAAAACAAATTCCTGGAATAAGCCATTTCCAAATACCACATGTCTCATCCTGCATCCTGAGTCCATCACATCCCTGTCAGAAGGCAGATAGAAAGCTTCATCATCAGTCCTCTGGAATAATGATTAATAATTGTGTTAAAACAGAATTTCCATGTATTTCAAAGTTGTGTGTCTATATAATGTTTTTTGTTACTATATAAATTATTTACCTGATTCTGCTTACTTAGCTCTGCATCAACTCATATAAGGATTCTCAAGGTTCTCTGAAAACATCTCTTCCATAATTACTCATGACACAATAGTATTCTGCTGCATTCATATACCACAATATCTTCCATCATTCCCCAGGAATGGTCACTCCTTCAGTTTTCAGTTCTTTGTCACTACAAATAGTACTACTATGCATATTTTTGTACAAATTGTTCCTTTTCCTCTATTGTCCCTTTGGAGATACAGGCCTAGTAGTGATATGACTGTGTCAGAGTATAGACATAGTTTAGTAACTTTTTAGACAAATTCCAAATTGCTTTCCAAGAATGGTTAGCACAGTTCATAGCTCCATCAGGGCATTAATATGACTGTTTTCTTGTAGATGTTCCAAAATTTATAATTTTCCTTTTTTAAAATCTACTTTGTCAATCTAATAGTTGTGAGGTAAACCTCAAATTTGCTTTAATTAATATTTCTCTGAATGTTAGTGATTTGAGCATTTTATGTGACTATTGATAACTGAGATTTCATTCTTTGAAATTGTCTCTTCATACCCTGTATCAACTGAGGAACAGCTTTTATTCTTATAAATTTGATTTTATTCCTCATATATCTTGGATATAAGTTTATTAGATAAACTTGCTTGCATATACTTTCCCTCCATTTGTTTTCTAATTTTAACTACATTGGTTTCATTTGCGTGAAACCTTTTTCATTTTATAAAATTGAAATTGTCCATTTTAACTTTTATGAGCCTCTCTATTCTTTGTTTCATCATGAACTTTTCCCCTATCCATAGACCTGACGGTTAATTTCTTACTTGACCCTCTAATTTGTTTGTGCTGTCACTCTTTATGCATGTCTAAATCTTATT